GCCGTTCCTCACAACCCTGCAGGTAGGAGAAGTTCAAGGCAGAACGAGCAGGCAGCAGAGGCAGGAGCAAAGGGAAGAGCTTTTCCAGAGAGCACATGGGCTGGAGTTCGCTGCTGCCGGAATCTGCGGAGGCCGGAGCAGGCACGGCCTTAAAAAGGCAGGAGAGCACTTCACAGAGGATGGATGGGGTCAGCAGGGGGAGAGCTGCCAAGGATTCCTCCTCAGGAAAAATCCCTGAGCTGTGGCAGCACGGAACATGCAGGATTTTCATGAACATCCCCATCAGAGCATCCCTGCAGGAAGAGGGGGACAGGGGCTCAGTTTGTCCCTGGTGCTGGCACTGGTGTCCCCATCAAAAATATCACAGTGAGCACTGGGGAACCCTGAAAATGCAGGTTTTTTTATCCAAAGCCACAATTTCTCAGCGGAGAAAATAGACAGCTCTGCCCCAAATCTCATTCTAGCACAGTGGCAGCAGTTGGAAGTAGGAAACTAATAAATACTGGGGGTAAAAGGAGGGAGTTACAGCAATTAGGAGAAATGAGTCGTTCTGGAGTGTAGAAAATTAACAAGCAAAGCCAAAGACATTGGGGGAAAATCAATTATTACAAAGTCAACACAATAAGTACTTTAAAAAATGCGCCGGGAAGAGGTGGAATTCAGGAACTGTCAATTCCAAGTGGAGATTGCAAAATTGTTAATTATGGAGAAAAATGCAAAAGTATTGACTAAATAGGTGGAGTAATTTGGGCTGAGACATAACAACGTAGGATGTGGGACCTGCCCATGTGTTGGGAACCAGGAAAGGCATTCAAAATAGAAATATTTGACATAATAGAATGGAATAATTTGCAGCAAAGAGTGGGAACTCTCTGCTCTGGAGCTGTCCATGGGGCTGGGGCGCCTGGGGTGGGCAGGACTGGCAGGGCAGCGATGCCACGAGCAGCTGGAGGAGCTGTGCAGTGCTCAGTGCCCTGGGCAGCCCCAGGGAACAGCTGGATTAATGGCTAAAGCAGGGAAGGGCTGATGGAAATAGCACTGACGTCAGTCACTGTGCCTGATGGCAGGGGACACTGGGCACTGGCATTACGTGACAGGTCTGGCTTTTAAACCTCTCCTTAGGCATGGTCCTGGCCTCTGTGAGGAACAAGGGCTGCTGCAGGCATTCCCACAGGGCTGCAGAGGCAGAGCTGGTTTGCGTTGGGCACAGAGCAGCTGGAGACTGACGGATGCTCCCAGCTGATAATGGGGATTTTATCACTATCATTATTATTGTTTTTATTGTTTTGCATGAACACTGCTCTGAGGTTGGACATCAGCAGGAATTTCTCCATGGAAAGGGTGGTCAGGCATTGGGAGGAGCTGCCCAGGGAGGTTTGGAGTGCCCAAGGAACACCTGGATGTGGCATTTGGCACTCTGGGCTGGGGATCAGGCACAGCTTGGCCTCAATGACCTTGGAGGGCTTTTCCAACCTGGGATTCTGGGATTCTGAGCACGGTATAGTGAGGCAGATCCGGTTTATCCAGAGCTTAGGGAAGGGAAGGGAAGCTTGGCTGGGATTCCTTGTGGAGCCAGGTTCTCCTGGAGCTGCTCCTCAGCACTCGCTGCCATTCACCACTGCAATCAACGGTCTGGAAAGAAATCTGAAATCACTGCTGATAAACCCGTGGCTGCCATGGAGATTGGTGGAGTGGGAGATGGTGCTGGGGACGGAGCAGCCATGCAGAGCAATCCAGATTGCTTGGTAAACTGGGCCCATTTAAACAAAGTGCATTTTAACGTGGCCCAGCACGGAGGAACGGAGCTCTGGCTGATATCCTGGGAAGTGCTGGCTGTAAAATGGATTCAAGGGTCACGCTGCATGAGTAGCTCAGGGTTAAGAGGCTGGCACAGACCTCAGGTGGAAAAACCTGCGAGGTTGGAAGGGCAGGAAGGCGCTGCAGGAAGCCCTGGTGAGATGGCACCTGCAAAGGTCACCTCTGATGAGGAACGGGGAAAAACTGGGGCAAGCAGAGATGAGGGCCCCAAAACAGAATTGCTGTTTGCAGGTTGTGACTCGGAGCTGCTGTGTTTGACTCCTCAAACAGAAGGCTCTGCTGTGCCTGGACTGCCCTGCACAGGCAGCTCCTTGTGCAGAGGGCACTGCCTGCTCCAAGGCTCTTTACCCTCCCCAGAAAGGTCACACCAAACCCAATTTCTGTGAGTCAGGGCCAGACAAATCAATTCCGTGCTTTTCCGTGATTCCAGCGCCGGGCTGAGGGGGTGGAGAGCATCCCAGGGACCCGCTGGTGGGGCTGGGCACAGCGGGAGGGGGCACTGCCCGTGCCAGTGCCACGCTGCCCTGTGGGCTGCAGGGACAGGGCTCAGAGCCCCGCAGCGAGAGGAGCCCTTTCCAGGGCTGCCTGGTGACATTTGCAGGAGGTGTTTTTCAGGTACAAGTGCTGCTGTTGGGATGCAGCCCCCCGGGCTGGGGGGATGGTGGCTGTCACAGGCTGGCTGTGGGACGATGTTGATTTGTGTTATCTCAGCACCCCGAGGAGCGGGGCTGGTGCAAGCAGGAGGGAAAGCAGGAGGGAAAGCAGGAGCTCGGGATGGGCCAGGCAAGGCAGGAAATTGGTTTCAGCTGGGTGGGGAGGGTGCAGGGGGAGGGCAGTGCCAGGCTCTACACGATGCCTGTGGGCTGGGAGGGGACTCCAGAGTGTCATTGTCACCTGGGCAGCGCTGCCTTGTCCTCAGCTCCAGCAGAGCCCTCCCAGCAGGGTCTCACCTGTGCCTTAATGGCAGGGGGTGCACCCTCTGCTCAGGCAGCTCCATCCTGTGCCCCCTGTGCTGTGCCCCCTGTGCTGTGCCCCATTCTGTGCCCCCTGTGCTGTGCCCATCCTGGCAGTGTCCAAGGTGGGCTGGACAGGGCTCGGAGCCACCAGGGCTGGTGGAAGGTGCCTGCCCATGGCACGGGTGGGATGGGATGAGCTTTAAGGCCCTTCCAGCTCAAACCCTGCCATGATCCTGTGATTACACCTGGCCAAAGCCTCCACTGTGGGGTTTTGCCACAGTGATTAACCCGGTGTTCCCCACTGCAGGTAGAGGTCACTCCTTCTCATCTGCCAGTGGTCCCAAGCAGAGGCTTTTCCTTTCCAGCCTTAACCTTCTCTTCCCTGAACCAATTTCTCTCTTTTTTTGAAATGTTTCATCATGGTTTCTGATGACTGCTTGTCTGTTCTTCTCTGCTGAAGTGGGGCACTCTCGCAGCTGAGCCTCCTGGCACCCAGCAGAGCTGGCACATCCCAGCCCGTTCACACATCCCAATATTGATGCATTTTTGGGTGGGAGGCTGGCAGCAGGGGTGGATCCCCATGATGTGCAGTGATCCTCAGCCAGCTGTGAGTGCTCCTCACGAGGGTGCAGATGTGACAGACCCATCCCACATCTGTCATGCCAGCAGCTATGAAAGCACAGCCCAGCCACGGATTCAGGACACAACCCAGAGCTTTCATTTGATCCATGATCCCAGCAGAAAAGGCTGTCTGCAGTAATTCCTTCGGGAATAACACTTTCCAAATGATTTGCACCCACATTACCCAGACAGGGATGTACCATGCTGCACCTCTGCTGTTTGCTTGCATTACTTATGAGAAAATCAGCTAAAACAGTGTCAAAAAAAACTTCCTCAAGTCGAGCTAGAACATTTACTGCTCCTCCTCCCTCCACGAGGCCTGCTGTCTTTTCAAAGGAAGGAGTTCAATGGCTTGACATGTTTGTTTGTGACAAACCTACAGTGGCTGTTACTCATTTCCTTGTTATCTTGTAGGTACTTACAAAGAGTTCTTTTATCTGCTTCAGTATTTTTCCAGGAACTGAAATTAAGCTAACTGTTTTATAATTCTCCAGCTCTTCTTTTTTCTCATCATTAAAGACAGGCGCTATTTTAGCTCCCTTCCAGTCTTCTGGAAGCTCCCTGATTCTCTACAAATTCCTCAGGAAAAAAAAAAAAGTCTTGGGAAAAAAAAAAAGCAGCCCTAACAGCTCTGAAGTTACTTAAATCAGGTCTCTAAGCATCTGTGGTGAATTTAATCAGGTCCAACCAACCTTAAAGCAGCTCATCTAAATGCTCCCTCTGTGTTCCTTCCCTCTGTTCGTCTCAATTCCTTCCCCTTCCTGGCCGGTGCTGGCTGTGTGTGGGACGCCTGATTGCCACTGATTTGTAGGAAAGACACCAGCACAGAAAAAGGTATTCAGCCTAAACGTTGTGTTGGCTCCTCTCTCACCTCATCACCTTCAGATCCCCTTTAAATAATTCCTGTCTTGGGCTTTTCCCCACATTTCTGGTGGGGAAATATTGTGGTGGCTTTTTCTTGCTCTCGGTGGTTGTGTTTCATTCCCCTCTCTTGCCCCTTGAACTCTCCACTCCACTCCTCGGTAATCACACCAAAGAAGGATTTGGTGGAAGGATTTGGAGCGGGATAATGATGTGGCTTAATGGCTGCTGGCAGGGAGCTGCTCCGAGCTGAGGCAGAGCTGGGGAGGGAGAGTGTGAACTGGGGTCTTGGAAAGGCTTAACGAGGTGAATCCTGAGGATGGGAGCTGGGGTCAGGCCAGGGGCTGGCAGGGGAGGGAGGATGTGGCTCTGTGCTGGGCAGGGATGCCATCAGAGAGGCTTTGGGGTGGCCTTGGCCACGCGAGACTCTTGGGGCTGTATTGGGAACCGGCCAAGTGGGGACCCCTGGTCAAGGGTGGGGACAGTGATTCAGGAGGCTGTGCTGATGGGGGGGACTTTTCCAGAGCTGTCCTGACATGGGAGGGGACACCTGGGTGACAGAAGAGGCTGGGACAGAGCCATGGAGGGAGAGATGAGTTGGGGCAGCACAGGGACCGTGCAAAGTGTGCTCCCTACATGTGATGGGGAGCTCTTTGCTGGGAAGGAGCCTGGTGCTGAGTGTGCCAGGATGGCTCTGGGGGCTGAGGATGGGGTTAGGTTGGATGTCCCCACCCTTTTTCCTCACCTGTCAGGTGGGTGATGCAACATCTTCTCTCTTGCCTGCAGTTACCTCATCGCCGAGTGACGTTCTCTGCAGCCAGCCAGGCTCAGGACCTGCAGGACCCCTCCCAGCACAGCTACTACGACAGCGGGCTGGAGGAATCCGAGACCCCCAGCAGCAAATCTTCATCAGGGCCCCGCATCGGGCCCCTGGCCCTGCCCGAGGACCACTACGAGCGCACCACGCCCGATGGCAGCATCGGGGAGATGGAGCATCCCGAGAACGGTACGTGCCCGCTCGCGCGCCTGTCCCCACCCTGGGACTGTCCCCAAGGCTGCTGGCCCTCCATGATCCCTGTCCCCGGTGTGGGTGACGTGGGAGCTCGGCTGGGACACACTCAGCTTGGTGGGGATGAAGATGGAGAAGAGGGGAGGTTCAGAGAAAGGGAGCAACAAGAGGGGTGGAGAGGGCACAGGTGGCTGAGGGAGGGGAGGTCTGGGTGAGCTGGGGGAAGGGAGGAGTCAAGAAGACAGGTGGGTGGGGCAGAGGACAGGTGGGTGTGGCAGGAGATGGGTGTGGCAGAGATGGATGTGGCAGAGATGGGTGTGGCAGAGATGGGTGTGGCAGGAGATGGGTGTGCAGGAAGCAGATGGGTGTGGCAGAGGACAGGTGGGTGTGGCAGGGGACAGGTGGATTTGGCCCGACACTGGTCTGAGATGGCAGCACCACCATCGAGCAGAGGGGCTGTATGCCAGCCCATGGGGTACTCGTGTGCTGCACTCAGGGGTCCCCTGGTTGCCCGTCCCCACCTCAGGGGGATTGGGGTGTGCTGGAGCTCCCCGTGCGTGTTTGGAGTCAGAGCTATGGGAGGTTCCAGGGGGCAGAGCAGGTTTAGTGGCACAGGCTGGGCTCAGGAGATCCGTGGAGCGGAGGCTCATTGAGTGTGGTGGTGATGGTGGCAAACCCCAGAGAGACATGTCCCTTCACCCTGCCCCTCAGGTCACCTCCCCGCGGGGTCCAGCTTTCCCTGGGTACCCTGGGGGTGTCTGTGGTGTCACCACCAGAGAGCTGCTTCCCGTGGTCATGCTGCTCGTGCTGCCCCCGTGCTGACCCCCTGGCTGCAGCCCACCCACCCCCCCAGCTGTCTTCTCCGGCCAGCTCCCGTTGCTTCCTTGGATTTGGCTCTGGCTGTGCACATAACATCTTCTCTCCTGTACCTGCTGCCCTCTGTGCTCGTGTCCCCAGGGGAGGTGGCTGTGGAGGTGGCAGGGTCAAAGAAACTTATGGGAGGGAAGAGGAGCAGGGGGCAGAGGGCTCTCCTGAAGTCTCCTCCTGTTTCTGGGAGCATCCTTGGCTTTGGGACAGGTGTGTGCATGGTGGGAAGATGGCTGAGTGTGTGTTCAGATGGTTTTTAGGGAGCTGCAAATCTGCTGGGTGCCTCTGTTGTGGAAATGGACAGGTCTAGTGGAACATCCCTTCCCAATTCCCAGGTTATTCCTGGAGTAACCTCGAGTTCAATGTGTTACAACCATTGGAGTGAGGCGTGGTGGGGTTCCCAAATCCATCTGTTGCACCCTCCTGTCCATGAGTGTTGTGCAGATGACTTTCTCCCCAAAAGTTCCAGTCAGTCACCTGGGAAGAGCAGTTTGGAGCAGTTCCTGGAGCCCTGGCACATGGTAGCAGTACTTGGAAGAGAGGCTGGAAGGGTGGTGAGCAAGGAGATGCTCCATGGATGAACTGAGGGACACAGTGAGGTAGTGGGGGTGATGGATCTGGAAGAGGAAAGGTTGAGCCCTGGAATGTGACAGGAAACTCAGGGATGATGAGGGAGGAGCAGGGCTAAAAGTAGAAACAGGGGAGAGAGAGGAGCACCTGGGAGGTGGAGGGCAGAGAGGGTTGTCTTGGGATTTTCCTTGGAATGCTCGTTGTGTGCCCGGCTGGATGGGCAGAGCTGAGGAAGGCCAGGGGACACGGCCTGGAGATGCCAAGGATGGCTCCCTGCCCACGGCATCACAAACCTGCCCTGCAAACCAGCTCCCTGTCTTGGCACTGTGTGTGCTCACCGCCCAGGAGAGCAGGAATCACCCCACACCCAGATCCCTGTGTGGTGCAGACTCTGTGGAGGCTCCCAGGAATAACCACAACCCTGCTCCGCTCTCCATCCCCCAGAACGTCCTGCCTTGTCTCCCTTCCCATGGCAGGGGTTGGGAATCAGGCTCCAGGGGCTCCTGCATCTGTCCTGATGCTGGAGGACATCCTGTGCTGGGTGCAGAGGCCGTGGCAGGGCAAGGCTCTTGGGATCCCCCAGCATTATCCCGAGCTGGTCCTGGTGCTGTGCAGATAATCTGGCATGGCAGTTCAGGGGGGACCTGAGGAGCTGGGCTCAGGGTCGTGATCCTCTAAGCAGACTGTGAGGGCATCCTGGCACTGGGACAGGCGGTTTGGGGATTAGGAGGCACTGGGGTGTTAGAGCAGCTCACCAGAGTTGTGTTTGCTCTGTCCCCTGCCCGAGGTGGGGCACATTCACATCTATGCTTCCAGCCAGACCTTGTTAGCCCCGAGAAGCATCATGGCTTGTTCCTGCAAAGGCTCTCCAGTGATGTGGGACCATCAGGACCTTTTGGGGACCGTCCCACCATGTCCTTGCCTTGGCTGCATCGGCAGCCCCAGCCCCTCAGAGAGCTCAGATATTGGGTTTTTGGGCAGACTGAGCTGTTCCTGACCTTCTGTTAAACCGCGGAGCTGCGCTGATCCCGCACCCCCATCCCGCGGCATGAGCGCCGGGCTGACACCACTGTGCATTTTCTCAGCTTTCATCTGGTTATAAATATCCAACATAACAGGGCTTCCATTGCTTTCTCCAGGAGATTATCCCCGCAGCCGAACCAATCTGATAAGCAAGTATGCAAGGCTATTTATAGCGTTTCAACTGGAAGACAGATCCATGCCTTTTCTTTGTAGATGGTTCTTCACTTGATTAACACACATCTCAGTGTCCTCCTTTTTTGGACCCTTTCTGCTGTGCAGACTGCAGTGAAATGCTGTATTGCAGGGGCTGAGCCAGGCCCTTTGCAGGAGGAATTACGCTGGTTCTGGTGAAGACTTCTCCAGGAGCTTGGCACTGACGTGGCAGCTCCTCAGTCATCCCAGGCGTTTGTCATCCCTGCTATTTTCCCTCTCTGCCCACTGTTTCCTCCCCAACATTTCCCTGCGTTGTTCCCCACCTTGGTGGGGCCTGCTGAGCTGGGAATGAAGCTCAGGCTCCCACTTGGCCACCCGGTGCTTTTCCCAAAGACATCTGTTCCCCCCGGATCCCAGATTTGCTTTGGCTGGAAGGAGCCTGGGAATGCTGGTGCTCCATGGAGTCTCTGCCCTGCCATGATGCATGGAGGGCTTGGATGGGGACAGTGCCAGTCACTCTCCATCAGCCATCGAGGGAATTTAACAGGGTTTCAGAACCAAATATGAGAAATTTGGGAGTTGTTACACGGAGCTTGTTTTTCTTCCATCCCTGTGTGGTGCAAGTGTATTTGAGATTACATTTTATTGGATGAGGCATTTCTGATTCATGTTTTTCCACCCCCAAAATCTGTTTTATGGCTGTTATTTAAAGTGAGGACCCCATGCCATTTTTAATGCATGCAGTTACAACTGTGCTCTGAGTATGGAATAAAAAACCACCTCATGAGCTTTCCCAACACTCTCGGTGCCGTAGGATCTGCTCTTCCCAGATGTTCATGAGTTTATCCTCACAGTTCCAGGGAAGAAACTCCGCCATAGGTGGGGAATGAAATAGAAAATTGCAATTTGCATTTTTCTGAGGTGGCTGCTCGCTCTGGGTGACCCTGGATGAGCTGGCAGCTCCTTCCTTTGCTGTTGGGATCCTGGTGTTCCAGAGGCAGGAATCCGGCTGCTCCCAGGTGCCAGAGCCCAGGCTGCTGCTGGCATCCGAGGTGGGAGCAGAGCTTGGCTTTGGGGCTTTGTGGCAGAGCTGGTTTCAAGCCCTCCTGCCTGGTTCAGGCTTTGCTAAGCCCAGCCTTGTCCTGGTGCTGTCTGAGCCCCTCCCAACACCTCAGCACAGCTGGAGTAGATGGATGGAGATTCCACTTCCCAGGTTTGGCTGCTGGGCTCAATAAACCCCCCCAGTCCAGGTTTTCCTTTGTTTCAGGGAAGATTTAGAGGGATGCATTGAAGAGGAAGAAGGAGCAGCTTGTCTTACCCGTGTGTGGCACAGCCATGAAATCCCAGCCTGTGATTCTGCTGGGAGCATCCCTTTGGGAATTTCCCACTTGTTTAGCACAGTGTGTGAGACCCCACGTGAGCCCTCCCAGTGGAAGGTCCTCGCTGCCCCCAGTTTCACCAGTCTACACTTAAACTCTGCTCCAGCTCCTCCCATCTCTTCCCACTGAGTCCCACAACACCAGAATTCCCTCTGCTGGTGCGTACTCGGAGATCCCATTCAGGCAACTCAACATTTAAAGATCTCTTTGAGAGAAAACTGAGTCAAGTCCCTCCCTGTGAGCAGAGCCAAGGCAAGGGATTTTGGCAGCTGGGTGTCTCTTCCTCCCTCCCACCCTTCCTCGCGCTCCTCCCAGCCATTGCCATCTGCTCCTGCCACCACCACAGACCTGCAGCCTCCTTCCTGGGCAGCAGCAACATCTGGCACATCTTGGATGTGTGTGGTGCTTTTTGGCAACCCTTGCAGAGGCAGCCTGGGGAGAAGTTTCCCTCCTCCTCTCTGCTAATTTCTGATTATAATTCAATCATTCCATTCCTCCGGCTCATTTTCCTCTCTGCATGGTCTCCAATTTGCCCACAAGCTTTTGGTGGGCTGGATGTGTCCAGGTGATGTCCCACAGCCCCCCAGCAGCACTTGGAGACATCCACAGCAGCTCCAGGTGCAGGGATGATGTGTCTGGGAGTGTTTGTGTTCACAGTGTGACCATGGCATGGAAACGTGGCTGCACCTGGCTGTGTGTGCACCCTGCAGTGCCAGGGATCAGGGAATGGTTTGGATGGAGAGGACCTTAAACCCCATCCCACCCCACCTGCCATGGGCAAAGACACCTTTCCCTATCCCAGATTGCTCCAGCCTGGCCTTGGGCACTGCCAGGGATCCAGGATGGGCACCCTGTGCCAGGGCCTGCCCACCCTCACAGGGAACAATTCCCAATTCCCAATATCCCATCCATCCCTGCCCCTGGCAGTGGGAGCCATTCCCTGTGTCCTGTCCCTCCATTCCCTGTCCCCAGTCCCTCTCCAGCTCTCCTGGAAGGTCCTGGAAG